GAGAGGGTACAGAACCCACCTCTCCTGGAAGAAAACCCAAGCTTCTAAAAAGCTTCAGCAGATTCCCTTGAAATCACAGCTTGGGACTATACCATGTTTGGCCCTAAGGTGGAGACAGGAAAATGAAGGTCTGGAGGGTCCAGAAGAATGTAGGTTTGGAGTCTGGAAGTGACTTACTACCCGTTAGGTTGGGTGTTTGTCCAGAATGAGACAGGCTTGTGCTGGTCTTTGTCCTATTGGTGTCTATTGCAGATAACTCTCTTTAAATTGTTCCGATTAGCATTTCAACAATAGGGTCAGAATTTCAGATTCCATTTTATGCAGTTTGAAGCTTGAATTCTCTCCCATCACCTCGTTCCACATTCCTAATTCTATGAATAATGTTAAAACGCAAAATTATAATAGATTCAGTTTAAAGGTAGAATTGGCTTTTATTTGTACTTCTAGAATCAGGCAATATCTTTCTCAATATCTTTCTAGGAGGTAGAATAACTGTTCCATTGAGCTGAGCAGAGGATTGTTTTTCTAGGCAGAAAAGAGTTGAAGAAAGCAAAAACAGAATAAAAAAGCAGATGAATCATTTCAAAAGTTACTTTCCTTTTTATGGGGTTTAGACAAAGGGGACTCCCATGTAATGCTGACTTGGGTGGACTTGGAGTCCTCCTGTGTTTTTGGAAATCTGGCCATTTCTAAGTTCAGTTGCATTATGTAGTGTTGAGCACAAGTGAGTCCATTCTAGATTGGCCTGGTCTGCTGGGGCTTGGTGCAGAGAGCTAATTCAAAACAATGGACTCTCATAAACTTTGCTTAAAAAATGATCATACTCTTTCTCTCATAGAAGGTTAGAGAAAACAAGTTTCATCTACTGGCCTTTCAGGAAATCTTGGGTGAGGATTTATCTTAAGAAAAAGCCATCTAATTCTGCTCTGGGCTTTGATAGAAAAAGACTGTCAACAGAAGCAAGCCTGTTTCTCAAGGAAAATTCTGGTGCTATAGACAAGAAACCCCAAAGGCCCTCCTCCCAGCTAGAATGAGAGCCTGTACCTACCACCAGACCTCTAAGACACCATGCTTCCTGGGTCAGCTGCTTTTGACACAGAATACCTATATCCAAGCATCTTTGGCCTTGAACAAATTCTGACCAGCTCCTGTCAAGTTCGTATCAGGATGAATTAACATCTGCAAAACACTGTGGACTTGACCAGTGGTAGTCAATGAGGACCTTTTGACTAATCCAAAGTGATAAACCAGCAGTGATGACAATGTAGCACATTTTTCATATTGCTAGATTTATTCAATTTGAAGGA